AGTGAGCTCTCTTCCCACCGCTGTGGCCAGGGTTCGATTTTCGCACCTAACATGTAATTTAAGTATGTTGTTGGCCTGAGGATTTTTGATTCGGGTATTCCTTGCTCGCTTTCCACCAAAACTTACACTTCAAATTCAAAAATAGACCTGGAAAACAGTGACAAAGAGCCAACACTTGAATGGCCTCAGCTAAATTCCTATATATTATTTGTTTATTCATTTGAAGAAGACTTTCTAGCACTTTAAGCTAGTGTCATTTATGAAAACACAAGGCATAGTTTGTTTTGGGTAGAAGTATTGTTCTGATATTTAAACTTGTACGTCTTTTAGGCCGTTTTGGGTGCAACAGGAAACAAGTATCCATATCAGATGGCGGTAGATGAACTTCATAAAGTTGCTTCGCTGTATTGTCCGTTGGAGAAACTAGAGTGCTTAGGTATTCAAAAGGCGCATATTTTTTGTTTCTTTGTTTCTTTTTTTAGCTGGTAGTATTTAAATTGCTTTTTCTGGTTTTAATGGATTGTTTTTTATTCTCTCTTGAATTTTTCGGTAGAGATAACGGAACTCTTATTTATCTGTCCACAGTTCGAACGTCGCGCTGCGTCTGTCAGTGTGTTGAGGATTACTGGGAGACGAAAGGAAAGTCGCGTCACTGCCCAGAGACAGCCATGTATGTAATCTCTGTCTCCCTTGCTTCAATCTCAGTTTACTTAGACGCATAACTGAAGAAAATATTATTTCCTATAAAGCGCTTCTCTTCTCCGCCTAGCGCTCAAAACTTCAGAAATAGAAAAAAGTTATTTCAGTTAGATTTGCGGGCGATACGAGGACGAAACCCATTGGCCTGTCGGGTTATTCTTAGCGAAAAAAAAATTCTTATGGTAAGTTTAGCTGAGTGAACTTACGTCTTAGTTCCCTCTGCGAAAAAAATAATTCCTTGCAGGAAGTCTTGCTAAGCCAACATATTAAATCCAAATGACTTATGACGTATGGAAATTCTATTTTATCCACAGTGGATGTGATGATTTGTTGCCCATTCTTAGTTTTGTCATTATTCGAAGCGGAATGGCGCAGCTGATCTCTGAGTGTGATGCTATGGAGGAATTTATACCCGAGGGGTGAGTACGAGGGACCTTCAACTACCTCAGGGTTAATGAATTAACGGGGGAAGTTTCTGAAGAAACTGTGGTGCTGTGTCAGTGGGAGAGTATGACAGGGTAATTTGGTGTTATCAACTGAGTTGAAAACGTAAATTGTCCACCGTAAAGTGTTTAAAGGCGTCGTCAGAGCGACTGGAGGAATTGTGGGTTGTGTGTGGATTTATATGCATAAACTATTGGTGGGAATATGGTGACGAAAAACAAGAATAAATTAGTTGAATGAAAAGCGCTCGTTGATACCGTGGGGATTGATTACCTCAGGGCTAGCCGATAGACTATAAGCAGTCCCCCGTTTTCGGCAAAGTCCGTCGCGCAAGTAAAAAAAAAATCGGTATAAATGAAATTGCCATCCTTGCGCGCCGTGTGGAACCCTAAGCAAACTCTCTGACAAAGTCTGTAGTTGCTACTTTCCTTACGCCTCGCTCCTAGAGCTCCTCTTGGCGCGCGAACATCAATTTTTTCACTTTTTTTTTTTTAACTCACGTGAGGGACTTTGCCGAAGAGTTTACCGGGAGAGTTCCGCCCTAGGAACAAGGTACTAAGTAACATCTACATCCAAGGGGTAAAAGCGATGAAAATTTGAATTTGAACCTTTTATGTTTAACCATTTTACCGATGTGGTTCTTGTTCAGGTATCTGATGGGGGAAGAAGGGTACTGCCTCACGACTCTTTTAACAGCCCTTGCGTATCTGGCCACCCTGAAGCCAACTTGAAATGACCGGCCTAATCACCAAGCAAGGAGAATATTAGAGAGCGGGATATATAACATCATAAGGTTCAAGATAAAGGTTGGAGCTACAAGCCATGACGGGCCAAAAATCAGTTAAAATTTGACAGCGAGCCACCACACCGATCTTTTACTTCAAGTTAATGTGCTCCATTTATTTTCGCTCTGATCGAAACTCACTGAGTTTTTGGCAACAGTTACCCTTGACTTAAAACTAAGGTGACCAGGCAAAATTGTCGAAGAACTGATGTTAGAATTAATTTATGACTGTTACAAAAATCAGAATAAGGGGCATTTTTCCACAATCTGTTAAAATGATTAAAAATGACGTTTCAAAGTTAAAATGTAAGGAACGTGAAATTTACTTTTCCCAATGAAGATGCCAATAGTTTTGTATGTGATTGAGAAAGTGGAAACAGCAAGGAATTAAACGTCAACCACAAGTTTTTTTTTTTGTATTCTGTGGCCCACAAATAGAAACAACCTCCAATCATGCAAATCTTGTTCGTTTGGCTAGGAAACACCATTGTTCTCTTCACTGATGACGTTGGGAAAACGTTCGCGTCATTTCAAAGGATTTAACTAAGAACTAATTTGTTAATCCTTTTAACTGCCATAAGTTATCAACATTCCAATATGTTACCTTGCAAGTAGATCATGGGAGCCTATCAGTTAGAGAGCATAATCTTGATACAACTCCAAATTCTCTTTGCTACTTTGTAAGGAATTGTTTGGCAGTTAGTAGGGAGAGTTATTGATTGGATCGTGAGAATTTAAGGGTGTAGTAAAGTTTGCTGGGCACCGCGACCCCATCGCCTGCTCGTCGTGTCGATCACTATTTGGTTGACAGGATGAAATAAGGTAGTGTTTTCTCTCTAACGAAAAAAAAGCGACAATATCGAAATTAATTCGTGATATCCTGTTAATTAAATAAGATTTTGAATTAGCGAGGAACAATCTGCATAATTGAATTATACAAGTGCAAAACTTGACTTGTGAGGTCTTCAAGAACGAACCACACCTGCTGACGTAAAGGAGACAAAACATAAACATAGCTTTAGACATCAAAGCCATCGAAGTAGTTTTACCCTGTTCAGTTTTACTACGGAGATTGCATCCCCAACAGCTAAATTCTAGATACTGCATGAAAAACCAGGATTTTTGAATTGAAATAGAATCCAACATCGTTTTAGAAATAACTTTTCTCGTTACGGCATACTATACTTTTGTATCATTTGTTAACAACTTATCCATCTAGTCAATTAAGTCAAAAAAGGGCTTTTTCCTATAAAAACAAGGCGGTCGCACAATGGCAATAAAAATATATTTTAAATCGCCTAAAGTAATTGAAGGAATTTTAATCCAAATTACATACAGACGTAAGAGAAAAAAACTGCTCACAAGCTTACGTGTAATTGAAGGCGAGATCAGAAAATTACAAAATTCTTAAAAAAAAGGATGCTTACGGTAGCATTTCATTGTTGCCACATCCATTAAGAAGCTTCTGTCTATTATTTTCTTTGTTCGATGACTTAAAGTTGGATTGTCCCCTGAATAAAAACCTTCGTGAGTACCCAAAAGCAAAGCTCGTTTTTAAGTTTTAATCAATCATTTTTCTGCTTAACAACTACAATTCAACAGTAACTCCTTGAGATGTTCTTCCCATATCAGCAGAAACAAAATGTATTTCATTATCTGGTTTTAGATAACAAGAAGGCCGTTTACAGCTTCACCGAGCGAGTCGTCTGGACGTTAAAGCTAATCTGACGGATCGAAAAAAAAATACGAGATGTATGTGTGACCAGAATGGATAGAAGCAAAATCCTATGTTTTTTTTTTTTGGTGGTTGTTGTTGAAATCTGATATCGCCAATTGCTAGTTACAAGAAATCTATATTTTGAAAAGAAATTAAGTTGGGGAATATCAAACTATGGAAGCACTGAATAAAATCGGTAAATAAGCTTGAAAGAATGTATAGAGGGAAAAAATTAATTGGAATGATACTGAGCAAATTAAATGATATATTTAGCTGGGAGGCTGCCGGAAATATTTCCATGATTATAAACATAGCTATAAAAAGTAATTATAATTCTTTGCGGCGGTAAGATAAGATTCTTATGCGCTCATTGATCCCTAGTGTACCACACTCGCCACCTTGTGCTTTAATTTGATTAGTGAAACTTCTTTGCCAATGTTAAAAAATAAGTGCTCTCTTCAGACAGAGTCTGACAAGTAGTCGTTTTAAGCGTTCTTTTCTCGCCAGGTGACGGCTTTAGTCCGTCTGTACGATTCAGTAAGATGTTATCATGATTGCTGCTTGGCTATCAGGGAGAAAAGAATACCATTTTGTACAATTGAGTCGCTACAGTACGAATTCAGATCTTGATCAGAGGAATAGGCTGTGATATAAAACTAGAAATTGCCATGAAGACGAAGACGAAAGTAGTCGATGCAAATTAGATGACGATTAATGGGAAAATGATAATTGGATCGAGATAAAAGTGCATCGTCATTAGGGATTTTTCTTTGCGGTGAACTTTGATCAATTTGCAGTTTGTTTTATCGCAAGATCGCGTGATTTATAAAAGGGCTTTCATCAGCCAGTCCGTTTTGAATTGCACCCAAGGCACTTGGAAATTCCGCTTGCACAGTCCAACGGTGTACACAAGCAATGCAAATTTAAGTGATAGCCACGCTTGTTGTTCTTCTCATTCACAACTTGTTTCATTTTCCACAGATGTAAACAAGAAGCAACTTTCAATGAATATCAAAGTTCTAACTTTCAATTCGTTTTAAGAGAGACTGATTTTACGGTGAAATCTCTAGCAGGGCCGGAAACCCACACATTTACAATAAGAGGTTTAGGAATAATTTACTAATGAAAAACACTTTCCGCCGCATTCCACTTTAAGTACAGGCTTGTAGCTCTTTAAGACGTCGATATTCCACAATCCATACAAGTTTTGTCGTAAAAAGGGAAGAGAAGTGTTTTTTTCTTTTTTCTCAAACAGAGTCAGGGTCTCAAGGCCTTGGCGGCACAATCCCCAGACTTCCGAGAAGCAAAAACGAGTACTTTTGATATTCTTCCAAACTATTTATCTGAATGCTGTGCCAAGTATTTGTACCGTAGGAAAACCACCTTTCACAGAACGCTTTTTCTTGATAAAAACGAAAAAACAAAAAAAACAAATTAAGAACAGGAAAAGCAACCTTGACCTTGCTTTCCTGTAACTTTATTCACGGCTGACCCAAGTGAAGTTCACGATGAAAGATGTGTATTACAGTGGAACGCCTTTCTATACAATTAATTTCACACCGAACTTTGACGAACGTCCACAGTTCAGAATGGTTTTGCTAAAGCGAAACGTGGAAAAATTGAAGAGGATCTGAGATGTTTCTTTTGACAAATGGAGGAAAAAAAAGGATAATTTACTCAAAGATTGATAACTGGCCGAGAGAAATTGCTTTTACTGTGACTGTCCGTAAATGCTTTGTGGAAGTATTCGTCAACAATGAATAGTCCGTTGAATCAGCATTTGTCCCTTTCAGGACTACGCCAAGTCACTCATATTGTTGTTAAATCCAGCTGATCTTGTTTTCTCTTCTTTGATATCTCAGCCGGCAGAAAATATGGATTCATAGCTTTTTCCGATCACAGCATGAGTAAACAAGCTCAAGTATCGTTATCCTCCTTCAAACAATGAAGACAACAAAAGTGCAGTTTTTTAAGGATTTAATTCAAACTCTTCAAGAATAAACATACGTGCGCAGTAGAACTTTTCAGTCTTAAGGAAAAGACCTGTCAAAGCCGAAAACTACATTGAGGGCGTGCGGGAATCCATAAAATGAGTAATAACTTTGTTTGATTAGGTTTTGATTGTTGGAAGGGTAATTATATGCTGTAGTTCTGATAAGCCTCTTTTCTTCTATGGTTAAAACGTATAAAAAAAAACGACTAAGATAGGAAAATGAAAATGATTGATCACCAAGCTTGACAATGTATTGGATAAACTTAATTTCACCAATCACAGAAAGGGTTGCATCCGCGTCAAAACAATGCCAAAAAAAACCCGTCAAACGGGTTCTCATTGTCGTAATACAAACCTCCAGCCCATCCTCCAGTGCCTCCCACAATGAGAACATACATGCGACAACGACACGTAACATACTTTCCCTTAGCCATTTGAGCTTGGAAATAGAAGAGCGGTTCATTAACTGACCAAAAATACTTAAGGCGTTTCTGCTTTATTCAAGGTAAGCGAAATATGTTGTTTTGGGAAATAAAACCTGATTTTCTCCTCAAGATCGCAGCAAGAGTTGGCGAAATAACAGAGAATCGTTAGGGAAACAGGAAATTTGGCTTGGAAGAAATGGTTTGTTTTAGATTGGCAATTTCTCGTTTTAGTCAAGTATTATTTGGTAGCTTGTAAGATGGCGCGCGTCTCTTAGTTTAGGGCGTTTCTGCTTTTTTCAAGGTTGGCGAAATATGTTCTTTTGGGAAATAAAGCCTGATTTTTTCCTCAAGATCGCAGCTGGAGTTAGCGAGATAACAGAGAATCTTTAAGGAAACAGAAAAATTGGCTTGGAATAAGAAGGATGTTTCAGATTGGGGATTTCTCGTTTTGGCGAAGTATTATTTAGTAACTTGTGAGATATCGCGCGTCTCCTAGTTTCCAGTTGGATGAAGAAGTTAGGATTCTTTCAGATGATTTGTGATTAAATAAATTTGGTCTGAACAATGCTGCGATCAATCAACTCTCACGTCACAGTTGTGATGGAAACTGCATTCCTTCTGGGAGACCCACGGCTTTACTCACCCCTCATGTCAGTAAACCTTATTTATATCTAATCTAGAAATCTCTGCAACAGAGACTTTTCATATTCCAAAGATTTCTCATTTGCCCGCTATGACCCTGTCTTACAATGAATCTGTTGTACTTCAAGACTCCACGGACTGAAGTCAGCCCTTCGATTAACAATGTTCTTTTTTGTCGAGTCACTTAGAACTGGAAACTAATTTTTGCAGCAAAGTGTTGCAATAGATAATTCATGTAGATTTGATTTGCCTGTCATTAAAAAAAAAATTAAGAATATCTCAAATTAATGATACCTTAGTAATATCCTTTATTCTCTCCTCGACATTGTTTCTCATCGTATGTCTACATTCCACTGGAGTGCTGACAACTCCGACGTCCACAGAAAAGGAAACAATCTTTAAAATATCGTGAGCACAAAATATATATGATCGTTAGGTAAACAGTACTGCTTTTTTGCGGTGATCAGAATCCTCTTAAAACAGTGAATACCGGAAATTAAAACGGAAAAATGATCAGAGGTAAGGCTTAGCACATCAATCAATGTCTTATTAGTTGAGATTCTGTCGATGTAACAGAGGAAAAAAAACTTTCTCTTCGGGAATGTTAAACATTTGTACAGCTACAGCAAGTAATATAGTAGTAGTAGCCCAGAGAAATTACATCAGAGTATTTTCAGACTGTTTTCATGTAGTAGATTTACAGAATCACAATCACGGAACAAAAACGATGTCTTTTCCGAACGGAGAAGACACTCTTTTATGCTATAGTAGTAATAATGATAATAATAAAAACGATAGCAACAATTGTAATACTTAAGCTGCAGTGAACTACTTTATCCAGCTTACCTGCATGCAATCCGTTGTATTTCCTTAAAACTTCACTATTAATTCCTCAGTTGGTTCTTCAAAGTTTCTCTTAGTTCTACTTTTGTCATCGCACTTTTAAACTGTTTTGTAATCATGTATTTAGTTGATTGAGTAATCACAGCCGAAATTACACATCAATGCGTTTAACCTAGTCTTCTGCAGCGTGCTGTCAACCTCTAATTTTTCTGAAAAAAGCGAACAAGAAGACCATTCAACTGAAATCAACCAACCTTTCCTTTTAATGACAGAGCGCGATGATGTGACTCTATTTCCATAATTATTTTATCGATCGTCCAGCCAGTAATTTAACCGTCTTTAAGGCAAGGCCTTGTTTATTCGTATTTCACAAGCTTACCCTAAGGCGGTGGCATATCACACGTATTCACCAGAAACCACAGAATATACCATGAAAGTGCTTCAACATCTCTGAGCTACTTAAGTAATTAAGACTAGGAACACGC